CTGGGCGCCGTGGCTCACGCTGTAATCCCAGCACTTTGGGAGGTCAAGGCGAGTGGATCACGAGGTCAGGTGTTTAAGAGCAGTCTGGCCAAGAGAGCGAAACCCTGTCTCTACTAAAAATGCAAAAATTAGCTGGGTGTGGTGGCAGGCACCTGTAATCCCAGTTACTCAGGAGGCTGAGGCAGAGAAGTGCTTGAACCCAGAAGGGGGAGGTTGCAGTGAGCTGAGATCATCGCGCCACTGCACTCTAGCCTGGGCGACAGAGTGAGACTCCATCTCAAAAAAACAAAAAGCGATTTTAAGGGAAACATGTTAGCAAGTCTGACACATATCCTTCATTAAGCTTTCAGGAGATTATTCAGAACTTTCTTCACTGAAAGGACTAGCTCTTTATTTGCCAGATGTCACTTACAAACATACATTTTCCATATTTTATGTGCTTCTTTGGTACCTCCAATAAGAGTATAGGAAACTCAAAAGGGGAATAACAAGGAAATTTAAAAATCATACAATGTTAATAAAATAGAAATATATCCTTATCTCTGAATTTCTATAGTACCTAATAGAAAAGAAAACAAGAAATGTATATAAAGATATACTACTCTAAAAACCTTTTAGAACAACTTTAGTGGGTTAGAGTCACCAGGAGGACAGGTTAAAACACCAATGGGTGCTGTCCCTAGATATTCCTATTCAATCCGCCTGGGGTAAGGCCTGAAAAACTGCCTTTCTAACAGTCTCTAGGTGATGCTAACACTGCTGGTCTGGGACCACTTTGAGAACCACTGTTCTAGACTATTATTTCAAATGCTTGCTTTGGGATCAAGGTAAGAGCTATGTAACAAGAATATCAACAATGAAGACAGTTTTCATTTGATCTTTGTTGGTAGAGTAGCTCATATATCTCTCATCTCAATTTTCTTTTATCTCTTAGTTTGACATTTTTTTGTAAGAGACTTTTATAAGTAAATTATCTTGACACTCTGAAGGTACAAATAGAGTAGAATGTTATATCAGAATGGGCTGGCTCAAGCACATATAAATCCAAACAATTTAATGCAAGAGTCCCAATATCAAATGCCCCTAAGTGCCAGACAGGTCAGACAGTTAATACGAATAAGTGAAGTAGGCCAAATAGTGTGAAGAATTAGAGAGGTCATAGCTAAAGAGGGCAGCTACCACTCAGCTCCAGACAACCATTAACCAATAATATAGGTTACTGTAGCCAGATCTTTCACATTTTCAAAATAAGCTGGAGATCCAACACTTTGTGTAAAATCTCTTAAGTTTTTAACATAAGCAATTAATTTTAAAAATTTAAACACCATATAGAACACACAAAAAGGTCTGTGAGCTGGATCCTGCCAGTTTATGACCTCAGATTTAGAAGAAAGTCTCAGGAATAATACAAGTCATGCAATGTGCTAACCTGGTCACTGTGTGCCATGGGCCCACTCCCTCTAGAAGTCATCTACTTCCAAAATAAAAAGTACTTTCTCTAAAGACCTACTAAAGCTCCTCTGTATAAGTAGCTTGCCCACCAAAACAAGTTTCCTGCCAATGATCTTAGTATGAGAAAACTGTGGCAAAGAGAAATAAATTCTTTATATGCTGAAACTACTGATCCAAGAATAATGATTAGAATTAAAGTTGGACAAAAGGCCTGAATAGACATTTCTCAAAAGAAGACATATAAATGGGCAATAGGTATGTGAAAAAATGCTCAACATCACTAATCATTAGGAAAATGCAAATTGAGACCACAATGAAAGAGCCAGTGCAGTGGCTCATATCTGTAACCCTAGCATTCTGGGAGGCCCGGGCAGGAGGATTATTTGAGGCCAGTAGTTCCAGATAAGCTGGGGCAACATTTCCAGACCTCATCTTTACAAAAAATTTAAAAACCAGCCAGGCATGGTGGTCTATACCTGTAGTCCTAGCTACTCAGAAGGCTGAGGTGGGAGGATTACTACAGACCAGGAGTTTGAAACTGTAGTGACCTATGATTGCACCACTGCACTCCAGCCTGGGAGAATAAGCAAGACCCTGTCTCTTAAAAAAAAAAAAAAAAAAGAGAGAGAGAGAGAGAGAGATCATCTCACCCTAGTTAGAATGGCTATTATCAACAAGACAGGAATTAACAAATGCTGGTGAAGATGTGGAGAAAGGGGAATGTTCATATGCCATTGGTGGGAATGTAAAGTAACAAAACCATTATAAAAAACAGTATAGAGGTTCCTCAAAAAAACTAAAATAGATCTACCATATGATCCAGCAATCCCACTGCTGGGCATATATCCAAAAGAAAGGAAATCAATATATCAACAAGATATCTAAACTCTCCTATTTATTGCAACACTATTCACAATAGCCAAGATATGGAATCAACCTAAGTGTCCATCAATGGATAAATGGATAAAGAAGATGTGGTATCCAAACAATGGAATATTATCCAGCCAGAAAAGAGAAAGAAATGTTGTCGCTTCTTTTATTGCAACATGGATATTACTGAAGGTCATTATGTTAGTTACAATAAGCCAGAGACAGAAAGACAAATATCATATGTTCTCACTCAAGCAGGAGCTAAAAAAGTGGATCTTATGGAGACAGAGTGAAGAATGATGGTTAGCAGTGGCTGGGAAAGAGGTGAAAGCGGGATGAAGAGAAGTTGGTTAAGGGGTACAAAAATATAGTCAGAGAGAAGGAATAAGTTCTAGTATTCAATAGTACAGTAGGAAAATTATAGTTAATAATTTATTGTATGCTTCAAAATGGCTGAAGATTTATAATGTTCTCAAAGAAAAGTGTTTGAGGTAATAGATATCCCAATTACTCTGATTTGATCACTACACATCATGAACAGGTACTCAAATATTACATGTACCCTAAAAATATCATAAACAAGATTTTTAAAAATTAAAAAGGATTAAAGTGACTGGGTTTTCAAAATCTGTAACATTTAAAAACAAGGAAACTGGGCTCAGAAGTACTACAGATTTGCGGATTCTCAAACATTCTATCACAATGGTGATGTGATTTGGTACCCAGTAATTAAACATCTTTGCCTGAAGACAGGATAAACTGAGAAATCAGTCCTTATGCACATGTTGAAGACAACTATACAGGCAACATGGAATAGATGCACAATAATTCAAATTTCAAAGGTCTACTCTGAGTAGCAGTGGCAGCCTGATGCACTGTGTTAAGGATTCTGAAGCTGAACCCTGATTCAGTGGAAAAGATGGGTGTCAAAGGCCTAGAAGAGGGGAATAGTAGCAGATGTACCCCATATTTGGCTACCTTTGAATAGTAAATAAAAACACTGCACCTGTGTTCAGAAATTCTAGTTCTCCTATAATGTATTAATATAGCAACTAGAATAATACCTTTTAAATATAAATAGGATCAAGTCACCCCTCCCAATAGTCTTTCATTCCACTCAAGAGTAAAAGCTAAAGTTCTTTTTATTACATAAAAAGCCCTACATTATCTCGCCCTCCATTATATCTCTGATATCATTTCCTGCTGCACATCCTATTGATGCCATTCCAAAACATACTGTTTCTTTGTTGTTCTGTAAACACACTAGCCAAGTCTCTGCCTCAGGATCTTTGAATCTGCTATTCCCGCTGCCTAAAAATCTCTCCTCTGGATATTTACATAGTTCACATTCTCATCTTCTTACCAATGAGAACTTCCTTGACTACTCTATTTTTAAAAAACTACACACACATACACACACACACACACACACACACACACTCTCTCTCTCCCCCCTCAACCTCCCTTTTGCTTTATATTTTTTACAATACTTGCTACCATTTGACACACTAAATACTTATTTTCCTTCGCCTAGAATGAAACCTCCATGAGGGATGCATTTTTGGCTGTTCTGTTAATGACTACATCCCTAGAATAGTGTCAAAAACATGACATTCAAAAAAAAAACAAAAACAAAAACAAAAACCAACAACAACAACAACACTGGATAAGTAAGTAAATGAACAAACAGGTAATAAAACAAATGAACCTGGATTCTATCATGGGTTCAGTGACTAATCAATTAATTTGCCTCAGATGAGTTATTCTGGTCCTCAAAGGATCCCCACCATTAGTTGTATAAACTATAACATTCCCGCCATTTTATAAAAGTAGAAATTAAGTTACGGAAGAATGGCATCATTTCCTCTAGGCCAGTCAGTAGTATAGTGGAAAGCCAGAACTAGACAGGTCTATCAGAGTTCAAGCCTAATGCCCAATCTGAGCTCTTTTATAAACAACGGAATTATGACAGATGAGGATCAAACTTCAGAATTTAAGAATGTAAAAATAAAAAGTTCCTGAAGAGAAAAATCTTTACTGGTAATAGTCAAGAAGAAAATGCAGACTCCTTAGCTTACTTTTTCCCAAAATTTTTATTGCTCTACTCCTTAAATTCCTATGAACATTAATAAGTGTCTATGGTTGAGGGAAAATGTTCCACAGTAGAGAAAGGAAAAATACATCCAGTTTTTCATATGAAACTGGAATAATTATATATTCATCTTCTGAAAAAACTGACAATAATGCTTTCAGCAGGGTTAAAATTAGGAGAATAGTTAGCAAAACAACAAGGACACCACAAAACAGCGTCAATCACCCTCCAATCTAATTCTTAAATATAAAATCAAAACCCTAAATAAACTATTAAAGACAGTTGCAATTTCATTTGATGATTGAATACTTCTCTCACCATGAACAATTTCAAACTGGACAAAAAGAAAAAGTGAATATGGATTTTGAAAGCAAAAAAGATGCCACTAATCAGGGACCAGAGAACTGCTCAAACATCAATCAGAACATTGTCCTTCAGCTCAGGAGACACTGTCAGGGATGGTTTAGGAGACTCAAAATGCATAAGAAAATGCTTGGGCACTTTCAGTGAAATGACGTAATTGAATGTGTGATATTTCAAATAACTTGCCCCAAAGACATAACCATTTACTTCCAACACTACTTACAAACTCGTAGTCCCCATCCTGTGGTATTTTCCAATCTGAAGAATTTTTCAGTGGACCAGGTACACTCTTGCCAAAGCTGTTGATCTGGTTTTCCTTTTCTTTTTGTTCAAAATATTCAAGAAAAGATGGTTTTGCAGGCTGCATGGTCTCATCCCTTCCTGAAAACCAAGAAAAATGAAAAATGAAAAGAAAATCTCTAAAATTTTAGATAAGTTTAATAGACCTACCTCCAGATGGGCTACAATCTCTGGATCAGTGGATATTTCGGTTAGATAAAGGACTCCTTCAAGAATCTAGTGAAACTAGAGAAAAACGCACAAATGCTTGCTCAAAAAATTCTCATGGAATTTCAGAGGAGTTAAGATTTCCCCTAAAATACATTCATAAATTTCCCTGGGGTCCCTTTTCCTAGATGGAAAGATTTGGGTGATGCAATAATTCTGATAATCTGCAAATAACACATTTGGAGTCTCCTAAAGCAAATAGCCCCTATAATATTTAGAATGAAACAGACGCAACCAAAAATATTTATTTAGCATCTATCATATACAATATCTCTACAGGCACTTAAGTAGGAAGAGGGGATGATACAGTAGGGTGACTTTCTTTGATAATCTCATAATCTAACTGGAATAATGAGAAAAATATACATGAAAAAGAAAACATAAATAAATCACAATTAATCCACTCTATGAAATATTGTGTAACTTTAAAAATACTATCTACATACGGCTTACCATAAACTTAAGGGAAAAAACAGGATACAGTATTATATATACAGTAAGATTTTGACTCTATAAAATCATATATAGGAGAAAAAAAAAACTAGGGGAAAATACCCAAAATGTTAACAGGGTTCATCTCTGGGAGCAGCACTATTGGTGATTTTATTTACTTCTTATGAACATTTTTTAAAGAAGATAGTATTGAACAGGTATTAAATAAATAGAACTGATTACAAGAATTATACGTGCCCAGTTCTTGCAGGCTGTGTGGTCAGGGAAGATTGGTAAAAGGGGACTTAGACTGGGCCTCAAATCATCCTGGAGTAAAGCATCAGCAGTTACAAAGCAGCAGTAACCATTAAGAGAGCAGAATACAGCAGCTATTAGCTACTAGTAACAAGAGCAGAAAGAATAATTTTACCTGGCATGATTTAAAAATCAAGCTAGCTGAATGTACCTGTTTCAAAGGTTGAAGTATCTTTGTGCCTGTGATTAGTATTCTAATATAGGGAGATACAGGAAGTATTTTTCATTGCTTTCCATGAACATAGGGGTTTATACGGCCCTTTCCCACAGTAAACAGGAAAAACAACCAGAAGGTTCAGCACCTTAAGAAGTAGATGAGAAGGTATCTAGAAGATAAAGAACAGCAAGTGTTTCTCTCCAGGCACCCTTGGTCTATGCAATCTTACTTATTTCATGACACTTCCTAGTCCAGTTTCAGGCCAGCCGCCCTACCGCTCAGAACATTTGTTATTTTTCTCACTATCACCATTGCTAAGATCAAGAGCAGCCAATTCCATATGTGCCCACATCCACACACTGCCAATGGCTTCCTACTACATTGTTTTCTCCTCACTAATTAAGAATTAAATACATTATTTGCTAGGACCAATCAGCAAGTATATAGTGTTTTGTTTTGTGTGCTCTAGGTATGATGTTAGGTACTTTTCATGCTTGTTTTCATTTTTAAATTAAATTTAAGGCACTACTTCATAATATAGTTCTGCAGGAACTACAACAAAATAAAACTTGTAAAAATGGTGGTGCATTGGATTTGCCAATGAGTCGGGAAACTATGTTCTTTTGCTCAGTCCCCTCCTCTCAGACCACCAAAGGAGAAGACTGGCTCAGAGACAACTCTGCAGCAATCTTACACATAATCCTACACATTAAAAAAAAAAAAAAAAAAGTATTCAGAGACAAGTCAAGCAACTTCAAAAGTGCTGCAAACTGCTGGCATATATAATACACAGTATACTTTTATACAAAATATCTCAACCCACTCAACAGAATAGAAAGCTTAGAAACAAAATAAAAAGTCCAAATGGCTATCCAAATAACGGGACAGCTATTTGAGAAAAGATTAAATTGAATCTGTATCTCATACCTTAAGCCTGGAAAACTCCAAATGCATAAGAAATCTAATTGCAAAAAATGGAAACCTTTAATACTGAAACAAAACGTGTGAATGCATTTAAAACCTGGTATGGAAAAGGCTTTCCAACTATGATATAAACCCAGATATAATTTTAAAAATGGTTAAAAACCTTTTATGTGAAGAAAACACCACAAATTTTAAAAAATTAATAATCACACACACAAACCTTATAAGCCAAGACAGAAGACAAATGACAAGCAAATACCATTAAAATGTTTTAAAGAATTTTCTTTTTATTTAAAGAAAATTTTAGCCAGGCGTGGTGGCTCACGCCTGTAATCCCAACACTTTGGGAAGCCAAGGAGGATCACCTGAGATCAGGAATTCGAGACCGGCCTGGCCAACATGGTGAAACTCCATCTCTACTAAAAATACAAAAATTAGCTGGGCGCGGTGGCAGGAACCTGTAATCCCAGCAACTTGGGAGGCTGAGGCGGGAGCATCACTGGAACCCAGGAGGTGGAGGTTGCAGTGAGCCAAGATCATGCCATTGCACTCCAGCCTGGGCAATAGAGTAAGATTCCACCTCAAAAAAAAAAAAAAAAAAAAGAAAGAAAGAACATTTTAAGAATTATTTATGTTAGGGAGATAAGCTCCCAAGAACTTCTTAAATCAAGGGAAAGACAACAGAAGAAAACAAGAAAACTAGACTAAAGACTTGAAAAGATAATAAACACACAAAGATATCCAACAGGTCCTTAAACATGAAAAAATTGCTGAGCTTCACTCATAATGGGAGAAATTCAAATTAAAACTACTTAGAGGGACCATTTCTTACATTTCAGACTGGCAAAGCTTCAAAAGCTTGAAAACACACTATCTGCTGGCAAGGCTGTGGGGGCACAGGCACTCACACATTGCTGACCTGGAATGCAAAATGGCATAATCCCTGTGAAGGGGATCTGACACTATCTAAATATCAAAATGTGAAATTGGGAAAGCCACAGCAACTTGTTGTGTTGTATTTGAACTGAGGTATTATCACCTCATGATTTACAAAAAAAAAAGAAAAGACATTTCTGAGCTTTCTTCATCAAAAGGCGTTGGAGCAATGACACTCCAGTACAAATAAGCACGTGTAAGTGGCTCAGATATTGGTTTCCAAATACCATTTCCTGCTAAAAGGAACTAGAATTACTTAAGAAAAACAGGTGATTCCAAGTCTAAGGCAGGAAAATTACAAAATGGACCTGAATCTGGAATATTTTTGTGCCAAAAAAAAAAAAAAAAAAAGCCAGCAAGTACTCAAAAACTGATGGGAACATATCAAAAGGATACAGGAGCCACCTTGAAGGGCCCTCACTGGTAAATTTTGGGACACTCTGAGCATCAAAAAGAATGCACTCAATAAGAGATCAGAGCAATAATCTAAAAGTGAAGGAGGTTTGGGAGAGAAGCGAGAACTCTTCTTTAGAAACATTACTATTTACGTTGGGCACAGTGGTTCACACCCTGTAACCCCAGCACTTTGGGAGGCCAAAAGAGGAGCATCCCTTGAGCTAAGGAATTTGAGACCAGCCTGGGCAACATGTTGAGACCTTGACTCTACTAAAAATAAAAAAAATTAGCCAGGCATGGTGGTACATGTCTGTAGTCCCAGTTACTTGGGAGGCTGGGAGGTCAAGTCTGCAGTGAGCCATGATCATGCAACTGCACTCCAGCCTGGGAGACAGAGTGAGACATGGTCTCAAGAAATAAAAAGGAAAAATCACTCTTTGACCACTTTATTGTGGTAACAAAAAAGAGCATCTCCTTTGTAGGAAATACAAACAAAAGAGGATATCTTCTTTCTTAGGAAATACACACTTAAAATTTGAGAGTAAGCTGCATATATCACACACCAAACTCTCTCTTTTCATTATCTCTGTCACTTGTGTCTATTTATCCATCCATCCATTCATCTTTATATATGCACAGATAAATGACTAAATTGAGTTTATCAATAAAAATGGTGACTTCTGGACAGAAATAACAGGTAATTTAAAACTTTTTCTCCAACGGAATTTACAAAAACCATAAGGGCATCATTCTTGTTTAAAAAGTATTATATCCAACAATATATTTCTATGGTTCTTCATTAATTCCTTTCAGTTGCAATACAGGTGGACTTAAGAAATTGAATCTTTAAACCAAGGATGATGAAACGCTAAAGATAACATTTCTGTGGTCTAATTCTAAACCATGTCATAAAAATCAAAGAAATGTCTGTTAAGCGAGAATATAATCATTTGTCTAACTTCTGTCACTGTTCAGATGAAAAAGTGAGAACATCTGCCTTCCTCATATTTGAGTTCTTCTTTCTTACCAAACCACTTAAAAATTTCTAATTTTTGAAGTTAAAACACCAACTGTTCTTTGTCTCTTTCAACAATGAAAATCCACAAATAAGGAAGTCTATCTAAAATATATTTGCTTTTACCTTCTGATATCAATACCAGGGACCTGATTATACCTGACATTTACTAGAATTCAAATTTCCAAAAACTAAAGTGAAATAAAAAGAGAAGTTTTTTTATCTAATCACATATTTAGATATAAGCTGCAAGTAAAATGCACATATGTATTAGAAATTTAATTACAGCAAAATGTTTAGTTAAAATGTTACATTTATCAGACTGCCAAAAAGCTAAAGTTTATTTTGGAGATAGAAGAATGGAAAAATCCCTCTCCTCAAGTTTTATGTTATGTATATTTTACCACAATAAAAAAAAAAAAAAAAAAAAAAGGAAAGTAAATCCCTATTCTGCAGTTCAAAGATTTAGATTCCAGTTCTGACTATATGATCTTGGTAAAACCACAGGTTCCCAATCTGCAAAAAGAAGACACAGGGCTAGATTACATCTAATGTTCCCTGAAGCTTTGAAAAGTTCCATGATTTTATGACTTGGCAGTAGCATATGAAAACGTATTTATACTCAGTTATTAATAACTATTCAAAAGAAGAAGTTCTTATCTCTAGTAGGATTATGATACTGGATGCCTCTAATCTAAA